ACGATTATAAACTCAACACTCTCAGTAGCCCGGTAAATTCCATTTTTGCTTCACAACCAAACATGGCTTCCAATATTAAAAGAACCGAATGGTCCAAACCCAACGCTGGCACCGCCGTCACCAGTTCGGCCAAGGCAGAAGGCCAGCCCGGAAGGGCTTATGTCACCATCTTGGCTGGAAACGGTGACGATGTGAAGGGAGTAACGGGTTTGGCCAAGGGGCTGAAGAAGGTCGAGAGCAAGTACAAACTTGTGGCAGCCGTCTTACCAGACGTTCCTCAACAACACCGGAAGGCACTACAAGACTTAGAGTGCATAGTGAAGGAGATTGAGCCGGTGAATCCACTCAAGGACCAGACACAGTTAGCCATGGCCTCCCATACTGACATCAATTACCCCGAGCTCCAGCTGATCAATTTAAAAAAGTACTCCAAACTTCGCTTATGGCAAGTAAGTATACCCTTTTACATAAATTGTGAAATGTAATCCCTCTTTCTAAATAATTTTATTGTAGTCATGAGGCCTGATTAGTTAGTGAAATTTGCAGTTTGTGGAGTACAGTAAGATGATATACTTGGAAGGAGATGTTCAGATGTACTCCAACATCGACGATCTTTTTTAACGTTAATGACGGCTACATCTATGCTCCGCACCTTCCCTGGCTGGAATTTCTCAAATTGCCTACAGAGTTTGGTATTCCGCAACCTACGTACTACTTTAATGCCAGCATGTTTGTCTTTGTGCCCGGTGCCTCCATCTTTGATGATCTATTGGAGACAATCGCGAGCATCCCTATGATCCCTTTCGCCGAGCAGGTGATGTAAAACAACTTTGAACCATGATCTTCACTTGCAACTTTTTTTTTTTCTTTTTTGAATAATTTCAAAATTCTAGTGGGTTTTCTCAGAATATGAACATCAAGATCTAATTAAGATTGCTTTGAGGCAGATTGACTGCAATCGTTTTTACTCCTCTGTAATAGAATAATAGATTTTATTATTATTATTATTTACAAAAAAAAAAAGTAAAAAACAAATCATAACATTTTAAATTTTAGAATTGTTTATGAAAATTTTCAAATATCCTTAATAAATTTTTTTGATAATTTTTTTTGTGTTAATTCATTAAAATTATTTTTATTTTATTATTATTATTTATGATATTTTAATTGTCATAACGTCTTGATTTTCCTCTATCTTTATTTATAATTTGAAATGTTATTTAATTTAGAATTTTTCTTCAAATAATACTTATTTTTTTATATTTTAAAGGTAAAAAATATTTTTTAAATTGAATTTCCTTGAACCAAACTGGGTCACTTTTTGATACAGCTTTCCGAAAAATTACTTCCTCAATCTAGGCCAGTTAATTAAAAGCGGTTATGATGGTAATTGTACTACAATTTTGAAAAGCTTAATTTGACGTTTGAGTCTAATATGTCCCAAGAGCATTTATTCATTAATTGGATATTATTTTTATTAAATTTGAATAGAAAACTATAAAAGATAATTTTATTTTTAATACCAATAATATATACATAATTTTAATTAGATAATTGATAAAATTAAGTTAATTTTATTTTTTATAACAAAAAATTAATGCATTCTTAATTTGTGTCCTAAGTTTTTATGGCAGTGATATAGATAATTTGTTTGTTCTGACGCGGCGCGAACGTGTATTTGTTTGTCAGCGTGTTCTGATCCTTCTGAATAAATTCCTCCGGAGGAAGCTATAATGGGACTACCAGAGTATAACCACAGGGCGTTGACCATGCTGCAGAACCATAAGGAGAACATTGATCTGGACGAGGTGAGGGTAATACACTACTGCACTCCTGAGCTGAAGCCGTGGAGGTTCACTCCAACAGGGGTGAATGTGGACATTGAACTGGTGAAGAAGCTTAAGGATAAGTGGCTGTGTATTTTCCATGATGAGTCGCTTAAACCTAATAAGAAACAAAAACCAATGGAGATGAAGATAGAAATCTAAAGGTCAACTGGTCAAGAAGAGTAGCATTCGGGCAAAAGAGAGTCAAGGACTAAGATGTTGTTCCTCGAACATTCTTCTTGACTAGTGTCACTGTTGTGTTTCAATTACAAAATTAAAAATCAAATGTGGATTTTTTATTGTCCCTCGTTGTACATACTCTAACCTGACCTAATTCTATTGATAGTCACTTTTGTTAATCCCCTAACCAAAATCCTAAACGAAATTTAATGAGATTCAAGAGTAGCCTTAAGTTTAAGGACGTTTAATAGGCTTTCACCATATGTTATATTTATTTGGTGAACGTATGGTGGTATCTTTACTTCATTCTCAAATATAGATAAATAGGGTAGATGATCATGAATATACAAACCGAAAGGCTCTTGTCCCCTTTACCCAAAGAAAGAGTCAGAATGGCCTCTTATACTCCAATTTTTCTTGCTATAAGCATAGTTTTTTCTATCATATATTCGTCTCGTGGAATTCCTGATGCCACTGTTGCAGAAATCTGCTCCACGACAAGACCAAGAGTCTTGTGAGGGTGTTTTAGAAGGCGATCCGCCCACCAAAACAGTTACCCTTCCTCAGCTATCTCTGATATCCATTGAGCTAACAGGGACACAAGCCAATCTAAACATCAGACATTTTTCAGAATTTAAAACCGATGATCCCAAATTGAAACAAGGTCTGAACGAGTGTGTTGCATTGTATGGAGGGATTAAGGAAAATATTTCCCAAGCTCTCCGGCGTTCTGAGGCCGGAGATTTCAAAGACTCAGGGGAATTGGTGCATCTGTCAAAAAAACTGGCCGAAGAACGCGCTGCTTCTATTCCTCACTTGCTGGAACTTGCTGAGCCTGCAAGGGCCATGGCCTTAAGTGCGATGCTTCAATTGCTGTAAACCAATACATTGCTTCAGGGAAAAAGAGTTTTTTAGCCTTTCTTTAATTTCATGGTTTTTGTTAAGAAATAGTAAAAATAATTAATTTTTTTAATGTGTTCATAGACATTTATTTATATTAAGGGGTTCACCTTTATTTAATGTTTAATATAATATAATTTAATATAATTTAAATTTTTGTTTTTAGTTTGATATTTTGGTCCAAACTCTAGATAGAAGATTTGGGAGGAAAGAAAAAAAAAAGAGAGGAAAGAAAGAGAAAAAGAGAGAGGAAAGAGATGATCGTAACTAAAGAAACTCTACGTTAGATTATTCTTTAGTTTGCTTAATTTATCCCTAATGACGTAGGTTAAATTTATAATAAATGTATAATTTTATAATTAATTTACATAAAAAATAATAAAAATTAATTTTTATTTTAATATTACTGTTACATAGATAATTTTAATTAATCATTGATTAAATTGAAGTCAATTTCTATTATTTTTATATAAATTAATTATAAAAAAATATTTATTATACTTTTAACTTATATCTTTAGAGTACAGATTAAAAAATCCTTATTCTTTTCTTTAATGTTTAATTTTGACTACTTGTGTTTAATGGGATGCTGAGCTGTTTTATTTAGATGAGTTGTAACTCTTTTACTATATGAAAATTGAGTGGTGCTATAGGGATAATATTTTTGTCTTATCTTTTTATACAATTTTCACATGTCATTAAATCAGTGAATGTATTTAATATTATGGGTCTCATATGAATTTAAAAAACTAATCATTTTAATGACACATCAAATTATACAAAAATATGAAATAAAAAGATTGTCTCAATAATATATCCTCGATGAAAATTACAACCAATGTCGTATTCTAAGTTGACGTGGTATCCTTGTATTTTAAATTTTCTCATCCGTTGGATTGCTTTTCTTATTAAATTTTGATTTTGATGAGGTTTGTTTAATGGGTTGCTGAGCTATCTTATCTAGATAAGTTGTAACTTTTACACTGAACGGGATTCTGGCATCACCGCTTTGTTCTAGAACGTCTTTGTAACTTTACTCTAGAAGCTCTTTGTAACTTTTTTCTAGAACCTCTCATTGATTACTTTTATACTTTATAAAGACTGCTAGACTGTCCCCACCAGCATAAGAAAATCTCTTCATTTCTATATTAGATGATTCTGCCCAATTCACTCTTTTCAATTCCATACAAGACGGTCCATTCCAATTCACCTTCGAATGACGGTGAAGGCGAAAAGAAACGCTGAAAAACATTTTCGCGAGCAACGGGAAGGGGCGTGATCGTGGTGGTGTTGGCCGAAGGGTCTGGCGTTCATGAGATGTTGAGGAGGTATTAATTAACTAAGTGATTGCCATCCCATGGCGTTCATGAGCTTTCATGAGAAGGTATCAACTAAGTGGTTGCCATCCTGCCAGAGCTTCAGGAGATCACCTGAAGATGTTGGTGGGCAAGCCCACCCACCGGAACGGCCGGAGAACCCGCTCTTAATCTTATTCCAATCGACATGGCTTGCTGAAGCCTTATTATCCGGTAGGTGTGTTCTTTTAGTCCTTCACGAAATAGGATTCATTTCAGTTTTAAAATGATTTCCCTTGAAATTCATTGTTTGAAAGTTTCTAAATTGAATTTCATTCTTAAAAATTATAGGTTTTTTATTAATTGTGCATTAAGCATTAAGGGCACGTTTTCCTTATATATTTGTATAAAAAAAATATAAACATTAATATTAATCTTAATGTAATTACTACATAAATAAATTTAAAT